ATCTCAGGTGCAAAAAGGCTTTGAAACACTAAGACTCCACTAGCATCATAGGGCACTACAATGACAATGATGATTCTCCTGTTCTTTGAGGCAGCTCGGTTTGATTTTCCTTTATACCCTTTCCTCACATCCTTTCAAAGCACAGCATCCTCCTTGGCCCTCCTGGCAGAGGACCTCCCCTTTCCACCCTCACAAGGCATCGTCTCTAGTCTTTCTTTCGCTTGACGCGTACATGATCTTGCTCAGTCTCCGTCCTCCTTTGTCCAGTTATCTGGCACTGACACAATGAATCCTGACATTTCCATTTATCTACCACCTCGGTCTTCCACTGCCTTCTCTTTCTCTTTCCAGTGTGCTGGTCAGAACAACAGGCTCCTTTAGATTTTTGTCAGCCTGCTACCAGGGGTGTTCAAAGAAACAGTTTTCAATTCAGCGTCTTTGCAGCTAGATTATCAACACTTTGATTAGAGTCTCTTTTTCACCTCCCGACCCCATTCTCTTTTTCTTAAGCACCAGTTGAAGTTGGCCAGGTTGGAGCAAGTCCAGTCTCTACAGAGCAGCTTCAAGATCAGCAGAGTGTTGTTTCTGTGTGGAGAGGCAGTCCTCTCTCTGTTCTTATACTAGGAGAGTGGGGGGCACCTCTTCCATTGGGGGGGCTGTGGAAGGGGATGGAACAGGGACGTGGGCAGTGTCAGATACAATGGCAGTAATAGAAGGTGTTCTACCAGATGGCAGATGTCTTCTCCGGCTGGGGGAGCAGTAGGGAGTGGAGCCAAGTGCTGAGCATAAGAAGTGGGGGGTTCCATTAGGAAGTTTATTTATTTTTAAATACTTTCTCTTTTAAAAAAACCTTCCTTTTTTTATATTTATTTATTTACTTACTTTGCCACACTGTGCAGCATGCAGGATCTTAATTCCCCAACCAGGGACTGATCCCTCGGCCGCTACAGTGGAAGCATGGAGTCTTAACCACTGGACTTCCAGGGAAATCCCCCTTCGAAGGTTAAAGGAAGAGAGGAATGGGCAATGTAGCAACTCTGGGACATGTGGAAAGATTACCAGTCTCCTGAGATTGAGAATTGTCAACTTGCTGTGGCCCCAGTTCACCCAGTGTGTTATTTTTCTCTTGCAGTAACGCTCAGATTTGTGCAGGATTTTGTGTGTATGTGTGTGTGTTTAGTCTCTCAGTTCAATTCAGTCGATTAGTCATGTCCGACTCTTTGTGACCCCGTGGACTGTAGCACGCCAGGCTTTCCCGTCCATCACCAACTCCCGGAGCTTGCTCAAACTAATGTCCTTCGAATTGGTGATACCATCCAACCATCTCATCCTCTGTTGTCCCCTTCTCCTCCTGCCTTCAATCTTTCCCAGAATCAGGGTCTTTTCTAAGGAATCAGTTCTTCACATCGGGTGGCCAAAATATTGGAGCTTCAGCTTCAGCATCAGTCCTTCCAATGAGTATACAGGACTGATTTCCTTTAATATTGACTGGTTTGATCTCCTTGCAGTCCAAGGGACTCTCAAGAGTCTTCTCCAACACCATAGTTCAAAAGCATCAATTGCTCAGTTGTGTCCAACTCTCTGAAACCTCATGAACTGTAGCCGGCCAGGGTTACGGTTCTACAAAAGTTGGGTGATGCAGGTGTAGAATGGACAAGAGTTAAGAGTCTTATAAGATCAGGGCTCAAATGAAGGATTATTGGATCCATATTAAAATAACAGGGAGGTAAAGATGAGGGTTAGGATAAACAGAGGAGCCGACGCACTGGACGTTTTACTGACATAGAATCACATGAGCAGGGAGTAATCGAATAAAGAGTCCGGGGCCTCCCTGGTGGTCCGCTGGCTAAGAATCTGCCTTCCAGTGCAGGGGACACAGGCTCGATCCCTCGTCTGGGTTTCCACGTGCCGAGGAGCAGCTACTGAGCATCTACCCTCGTGCCACAACTACCGAGCCCGCGTGCCTGGATCCTGTGCCCTGCAACAAGAGGAGCCGCCACAGTGAGAAGCCCGAGCACCACCACAAAGACCCAGCACAGCTAAAAGCAAACACATAAATAAATGTTTTAAAATAATTTTTTTTAAAAGATTAAAAAATCTGGAGAGCAGGACGTCATCATTGTGAATAAGTATGAAAGAATAATGTTTGAGACACAGAATCATTCCTACTGATAAAGTCCTTGGTGCAGCCTCTGAAAGTGGGTAGCAGAAATGGAATGAAGTTCTTTGAAAGATGAGGAAATGTGAGGCTGGGTGTGGGCAGAGTCATCCACAGTGACAGCAAAGTTCACCAAGTTAATGATGAAGCAAGAAAAGATGCAAGATTTTAAAGTTCCAAAAATTCCAAAGTTCCAAGTTCCAAAGCCCTAATAAAAGTGACTCTCTCTGGGAAGTTGATAGAAGGCAGAAAACATACAAGTTAGTTTGTTTAACTAACTGTATAGTATACTAACTATACATAGTTTGTATAACTGATCCGTGTGCTTTAGAAGAGAAAGGGTTTTTTACAAGAGTGGAGGAAAGATAGCCTGCAAGTTCTAAGAGAAGGCTAGACAAACGTTCACCTTCCTCCCAGCTCCGGGGGTGTGTGGAGCGAGGGACAGGGCCACAGGAGTTGTCATGTCATCAAAGAGACTGGCGTTAGAGGAAACACAGCTGCCAGGATGGTCAAGGAGGTTTACAGTGGGACTCGGGTCCTGGTGACCCCACCATAAGGAGCACTGGATAGAAGATCAGAAAGGGAAAGATGAGCTAAAGGTGGGGGGTGGGGGAGGGGAAGGCTGGAAGTCATAGCACACAGTATTCAAAGTAATCTAAACCTAAGCCCCTTTTTTTCCTTTATCCTTTGTTTGTGAATAAAGAAAAGAAATAGGCTCTTTTATGTGCAGAAATGTCACCGAGACTATCTAATAATCCCAGCACCCTTATCCTAGTATTTTCTTTGGAATCCGTTGTTTATATTCCCAGTTCTAAAGCTTCCATCAAATCCATTGCCAGCTAGGATTTGTAGAGTTTAATAAGGGTATTGCTTGGGTTCATCTCTGTTGAATCTGTAATAACCATTCATCAGTACAAAAAGTCATCATACAGTTTTGTCCTATACAGTTCAAGAACACGCCATATTTTTATTTTTAGTGCTTTATAGACACTTCTGATATTGACAGTGTTCTTTAAAATTTTTTGCAGAGATTTCAAATTGCATCTTCAGTTTTAGTTCCCCTGAGACTAAATTTAAGTACAGACTTTGATTCTTTTTCTTTTAAAAATTTCTCCTCTTCTCTCTTGCGTTCCTTATCTTCTGAGAAAAATTGCCCAACAACTCCTTCATGGTATTGCACCCTTTTGTGATCCTTTGTCTAAAGAACACTGTGTACTTTCTCTAAACTTTATTGGATTGGTGAATAGCTGGTATCCAAACAGAACTGGTGTTCTTTAGTAAGGTTATTTCTTTGTGTGAAGTCTTTCGCAGGCTTACAGAGCAACTCTTTTTCATTGATTTTCATTTTTTTTAAATTGAGATATAATTGACATAGAATATTGTGTAAGTTTCAGATGTACACCATGTTTTGCAACATGTATTGCAATGTGATTATCACCACAGCATTAGCTCACACCTCTGTCACATGACATTATTATTATTTATTTTTTCATTGCTTTTTTTTTTAAATCAGAGGATAATTGCTTTACAGTGTTGTGTTGGTTTCTGCTGTACAACAGTGAGAATCAGCCGTAAGTACACATATACCCCCTCCCTCCCGAGTCTCCCTCACACCCCGCCATTCCACCCCTCCAGGTCATCATAGCATTGACATATATGTACTACCATGTGCAGAACAGACGCCTAGTGGGAAGTCACTGTAGGGCACAGGGGGCTCAACCTTGCTCCAGTGACACAGCTGTGACATGCATGTTCACGCGGCCGTTCCCTCACTCCACTCCCAACACTGAGATGCACAACATTCACACCCACGCAGCCCGGCCCTGCCTTGGCATGCCTCTCTTCACTCGAATTCATGCAAGATGGTGACAGTAAATGTCCTATGTGGTGGGAATAACAAGGAGGAGGTTCCTATGGAGTAAAGTACAGGAAGCTAAAAACCACCTGTGTCCTGCCTCTTGGGGCCACACCTCTCAGTAGGTGTCCAGGGAAAATACATATTATTATTAATATGCATCAGGGGACCAAGCAAGCTGGACCCAGCCATATCCACACACTTGCCACTCTTTGGGCCTTTTCACTCTAGGATGGTGGCCCAATGCCTGGTCTTGGAGTGGAGGCTGCACAGAATGGCAGGGGCATGTCTGTCCACTCTTGGGGGTGTTAACTGAAAAAAAAAAAAAGTCCAACATGAGAGTTGTGAGTTGAGTTTCATTTGGGGCAAAATGAGGCCTAGAGCCTGGGACACAGCCTCTCAGAGAGCTCTGAGGAGCTGCTCCAAAGAGGTGAGGGAAGGAGGTCAGTGTCTTATATGGTTTTAGTGAAGGCAGTACATGCACTCAAGCATGCGGTTGGCCGAGGCTAGGTGCTGGTCACAAGGAGTGATGTCTCCATTAATGACTGCAGTGCTTTTCCAGATATGAGGAGATTCAAGAATTTGGGCTCCTAAAATCTCCTGAAAATATCTGTGTGAACGTCTGTTCTGCCAGTTTTTCCCAGAGTACAGAGCACACCATTCCTCATCTCCACCCTGAATTCTTTTCAGGGAGTTTGGAAGGTCAGCAGCTACAGTGGCCTTGTAGAAACAGATAGCAACTGACGATTTTTAGTTGGCAGGGATTCAGTGAAGAGGGAGGGGAGAAGTCTCTTTGTCTTGACAAGTGTGCTTCCTTTTAATTGGGAACAAAAAGTTGGAAGATGTAGCAACCCCACCCTGGGAAGAAAAAAGGTCTGTGCATGAGGTTGGAATGTATGGCTCCCTGCCGCTGCCAATAGGGGTGCTGTGTGGGGTGAACACTCAGTGACATAAGAGGTGCTAATGACCACTCCACGCTCCTTTCAGGCAAAAAACTCGGATATACCTTCAACAACCGGAACTTCCACAATGTGTCTTTGGGGCAAGGACAGGAGGTCGTGGCTGAGGCCGCGCTGGACCTGGCTGCCAAGAAAGGCCACTGGGTTATTTTGCAGGTACGCCCACTCTGCCCTGATAGGGCTCACTCTTGACCCATCCCTGTGTGGACCTCCTGGGCCGCCTTTCTGTCCACACCCTCCTCCCCTGACTTCCTAATCTTCTCAGGACGCTGGCTTTCAGCTGGATCTTTCCCGCTGCTGATCTCTTCCCATGCCTTCCACAGAACTCTCCTCTGCTCCACCTTTCCTCTGGGCCACATGGTCCATGTTCTCCATCACATTCACGACTAGAATGCCACACATGCAACCAGAACGCAGCCTCTTCATTGAGAGCTCATGTTGGCATCTGGAGTCTGGAACACCTACTGTCGAGTTTCGCTAAACACATGAAGTAAAGGCTGCCCTTCTTCCGTCACAGCCTGTCCTCATTCCTGTTCATGCAACTTGCATGGATGCTGGGGCTGTGGCAGAGCGAGCAGCGGACCCCTCTCCTCCCGTAACACCCTGCCGCCGCCTCTATGAGCGCATCCACAGCTCTGTAGGAACAGCTTACCATATACCTGTGTCCTCCGCTGCATTTTTTTAGGGAAAGAGGCATCCCCCATCTGCCTTTGGACCCAGCACACTGCTTCCCTCAGATGCTGGCTCAGATGGCAAAGAATCCGCCTGCAATGCGGGAGACCCAAGTTCAATCCCTGGGTCGGGAAGAGCCCCTGGAGGAGGACATGGCAACCCACTCCAGTATTCTTGCCTGGAGAATATGCCTGGAGAATCCCCACAGAGAAGCCTGGCGGGCTACAGTCCATGGGATCACAAAGAGTCGGACACAACTGAGCGACTTTTTCACTTCACTTCACCCTGCGCACTAGCACCTTCAGGAACCCAGCCCCCTCCCAAGACAACGAGCCGTACCTATCTGCTGCCCTGGACCGTCACATCTTGTCCCGATGTGGTTTCTGAAAGATCTCCAAGATCAAACTTGGAAGCCGGGATTCCTGATACAGCGGCAGAGTTTCTCACTGGGGAGTGGCCAGGCTGCCCGGCTCACGGAGCCGCAGCTCTCCAGTCACCCACCCTCCCTGCTCTGATAAGTGATGACACTGGAATTCTTTCCTCTAACAGATTTTCATTTCGGCATCCACTACTAACTCCTACATAGCATTTCACAGTATACAAAGCCCTCTCAAATCCATTACCTTTGGTTATTTGCAGCAACCCTGGGAAATAAGTATGGCATATATTACTGTTATTTCTCTTTTCATAGAAGAGAAAGTAGACCAGATGGCTGTTGCCTCAGCACTGTGTTCTGTGCCAACCTGTGTATTTAAGGCTCTGCAAGCAGACTTCCTCAAATATTTATCAAGGAGCTTTTATCTGTCCATCATAATGAAACATATTGCAATGAAGCAAAGTGACTATCATTGCTAAAGTAAAAAGTCCATGCTGCAAGATGGTGCTAAGAAATTAATGTCATTTCACATAGACAGACGGACAGATAGGAATCTCAGGAAGGAGGAGACAGGCTCAAAGACCAGAGGGGCTTGGGCATGGACGAGGAGCCTTCCCTCTATGAGAGCCACGATGTCCCAGTGTGTTTTAGAAAGATAAGTTTGACAACAATCAGCAGAATGATTTGGAGAGGGATGAGGAAGAAGGAGAGCTAGCTAGAAGTGTAAATAAATGCTTTTCAAGTCTGAACATGCAGACAAATCACTGGAAGATCTTATTAAAGTGCACGAATTCAGTAAGTCTGAGTCAGCATTTCTAACTGGCTTCCAGGTAATGGTAACATTGTGGTCCACGGGCCCCACATTTGAGTGTCAGAGGTTCAAAAAAATCCAGGTGTCAGCTGTGGGGATCTGAAGTTGGAGGGTAACCATGCATGAGACACTTCAAGTGTGACCCCCAGACCAGCAGCAGCGGCATCACCTAAGAACTTGTTAGAAGTGCAAGCACTCAGGATCCTTCATGGACCAGCCGCTCTGGGGTGGGACCCAAAAACCTTTGTTTCAACAAGTCATCCAGGGGATTCCGAAGCCTCAAGGTCAAGTCTGAGATCCTTAGGACATGGAGGGATAGATTGAATGGCAGGAAAAAGGGGTCCTCATGACTGAGAACCCCAAGACACTTGCTAGGATGTGATTTGTTTGAAGAAAATGCCAGGTATTCCCGGCCCCGCNCCCCCACCCAGCCCCGATCCTCCTTCCTGATTACCACTTAAGCAGAGGCTTGCATGGGGGGTGGGGGGGCTCCTTCCTTCCCACCAGAACATCCACCTGGTGGCCAAGTGGCTCGGCGCCCTGGAGAAGAAGCTGGAGGAGCACAGTGAGAACAGCCACAGAGAGTTCAGGGTCTTCATGAGCGCGGAGCCTGCCCCCTCGCCCGGGAGCCACATCGTCCCCCAGGGCCTCCTGGAGAACGCCATCAAGATCACCAGCGAGCCACCCACGGGCATGCATGCCAACCTGCACAAGGCCCTGGACAACTTCACTCAGGTGGGGCCCTGGAGGGAGGGCAGCGGGGCACCTCCTCTCACAAAGAGCAGACGCCTTCCCCGCCCCCCCAGGGCAGGAGAGGAACACACTCTCTTGAAGGAGTCAGTGGCAGGGCATGCCCTGCTCGCCTGCCTGGAGGGTCCTGGCAGAGACAGGGAAGGGGCGGCAGCTGCTTCAGTGGTACAGCTCCTAATTATTAAGATGATAAAACTATGCCTCGGTAGGTTTAGTATCATCTTGTCAGCCTCCCCAGGGGCCCTTGTCTTTGGGCTTACCCCTGTGCAAGCCCAATGTCCAGTCTTGGTTATCGAGCATTTGGGACGTATATCCCAAGAGATGCTGGCTTGTCCCGGTTCTGCTGCAGAAGGATACACAATGGTTGTCGTTTGGGACTTTACCGGCCTCTCCAGTAGATTATTCGGGGGAAGAGGGACAGATTCAGGAGTCTCTTCATTGCTCACAAGAGTGTCAATTGCTCCATTCTGCATTTGCAAATGCCCGGGGACAGTGGCCCGCTTAATACCTTCTAGGATTCGTTCTCTTCCTCCAGAGCCCTATTTTCACTGTTTATGGGACAAATCGCAGAACTGGGGTCTTTTCATCCATCCCCTCTTCCCTGACCATTGTGCTGTTTGGAGATGATCATTTCATTCTGACTTCTCATTTGAGCGAACCCGCTGTCAACCAGCTTCACAAGTGTGGCTTCTCGTCTTTGTGCTTAAAGGCATTTTTCAGCAGGACTTGATTTTCCACGTGTGTCAGAGGTAACAAAGGAAGCTCCCTACATGTCTTCAGAGAAAAACTCTGTCCAAAAAGCCATTATTATAATAAGTTCCTGCTTGCATGAGGCAGTGACTTTGTTCCCTGTACCACCTCTGACCTTTCACATTCATATCTTCATGGCAAGTGTGGTGCCCAATCAAGGAACCAGAGAGAAAACTGTGTCACGGGCTCACTGGGGAAAAAATCAGACCTACCATCAGCTTAATCTCTGCGATCTCCTCTGCTTCCCCTCGTTGTTGCAAGCAAAGTCTAAGGTCCACCTCCTAGAAGAAATGCCAGGACTGAACCCAATCCAGTTGTGTGAGCTTTAAAAGTGCCTCTCGGGCTCTAGCTGCAGCATCTTGCTCCTTCCTAAACAGAGGAGCTCACTCAGAGGACTCATTTCCTTCCAAAGAATCCAGGGTTCACATCCTAACAGCCCTTCACAATGCGGTTTTCTCCCTCCCCACCATCATCCCCATGCCCATTAACATCTAAGAACAATTCCACCGACTTCCTCTGGACTCTCTCTTGCTTCTTTTCTTCCATCTTCCCGTCTTTCATCCTCTCTTCATGAGTCAGACCATTTCCCCTACCTTCTGCTCTGCAGCCGGGACCCCTCGGGGGTCTTGCTTCTGCAGCCACAAGTCCGTTAGGATGTAAAGGACAGGACACCCCTCTGTTTCTTGTGGCTCCAATTCCCACCGCCCTCTGCTTCGGCAGTCCCCCCAGCAGATGAGCCGCAGGGTTGTCAGTCACACAGGCAGTAATTACACTTACTAAGATTCCATCATGGTCAAGGAAGCATGACGGGAAGGAGGGGAGTCAGAGATGATGCTGTGGGTGTCCCCACCCACACCCCAGCACCAAGTGCCGTCAACAGGACAAATGTAACACTTCTGTGGCCCCCTATCCTTTTCTCTGTTAGCTACACTTGGGAACCTCATTAGCATGTCCGTGTGTGCAAACTGTAACTGTAGACAAGTTCTGTTATAGGCTGACTCTAAACTAAAACCCAGCCCCTTTGCAAGGTCCTCTCAAACCTGACTCCATGCCTGTCTGCAGCGCAACCCACAGTCCTGCTGTCACTCAGATCTCCACCAGGACATGTCAGGCCTGCCCTTCTCACCCCCGCCCCGCCTGCCCCGCATCACGGCTGCTCTGCTCTGACACTGAGCATCATCTCCTTCCAGGACACCCTGGAGATGTGTTCCCGGGAGACGGAGTTTAAGAGCATCCTCTTTGCACTTTGTTACTTTCACGCTGTGGTGGCAGAAAGACGCAAGTTTGGACCCCAGGGGTGGAATCGCTCCTACCCCTTCAACACCGGGGACCTCACCATCTCTGTGAACGTGCTCTACAACTTCCTGGAGGCCAACGCCAAGGTACAGTTCCAGTCAGCAGAGGGGCAGATCAGTAGGGTGCCTCTGAGAAAGATGATGGGGCATCTGCACGGGGAGATGGGGTGCACTCACACCCCCACACCCCCAGGGGGTGTGAGGAAGTGCAGGTTTACTGCATGGTCAACCCCAAGAGCAGCGTGAGGCTGAGGAGGAAGTACCATGATGCGAGAGGGATATAGTGAGGGTAGAAAGAAAGCTCAGGAAACCAAACTACTAACAGTGACTCACGCTTGGTGTCAGTCAGTCCCATGGGTGTCTGTCCCAGGGCCCCGCCCCAGATCACCCCGTGTACTCCCAGCATTGCTGGGGGTGGTGATTGGCAGGAAGAGACCCACCCTCATCTGCTACAAGCTCCCAATTTAATTCACCAAAGACAGAGACCTTCTCGTGGTGGTGCACGCAGCTCCTCGCATAAGCACAGTCTTAAGCACGGTCTTGCCGAAGTTGAAGAAGCCAAATTCTTCCTTCTTCCTTCACCTCACCTCCTTTATCCCGCCTGATGCCTCCATTTTACGAAACACTGACACTGACGCTTCACGCTCTTCCAGTTTAGGGAAGACCAAACACAGCCTCTGCAAGGCCTCTCCCTCTTTCTTTGGGGACAGTGAATCAGGCCCAGAAGCAATGCCTCTGGCTCTGGCTCTAGGGTCCTGGGAAGTCCACCACGGAACACACCATCGCTTCACCTGCCACGAGGACCCAGGGCTTTCTTCTAAGTGGCTTTCCTGCCTAACTCTAACATCCATGAACTTGTGTGCTGCATTTCATTCACTCTGAACTTTCCAAGGAGACGATTAACTAATAAGCTAATCAACAGCAGGGAATGAGAAAAGTACCCACGTCTTTGCTCTCCTCTGCTTGACCTTAGCGTATTGAAAGGACCCGTAGGTAGAGCCTGACTTCACTGCCACAGTTAAAGACGGTGAACGAGGGCAGGCATGTGTGCAAGAGAGCCTGTGTCTTACCTCTTCTCGCCCTTTGATCTAACTCTTCCCTCCCAGAGGTGCTCGACCCTGCTAAGTACCAGAGAAACATGGATGAATAAGACACTGCTCCTGGGACTTCCCCGGTGGTCTGGTGGTTAAGACTCCATGCTTCCAATACAGGGGGTACGGGTTCAATCCTTGGTCAGAGAACTAAGACCCCCTGTGCAGTGCAGTTTAGTCAAAAACGTTTTTTAAAAAAGACATCGCTCCTCATCTCCAGACCCACCACATCTTGTGGCTCACGTTGGGTGGGTCGGCCCGAGGCCCACGTACAGGGCTTCCTCCCTTCCTGTCTCGCAGGTCCCCTACGATGACCTGCGGTACCTCTTCGGTGAGATCCTGTATGGGGGCCACATCACCGATGACTGGGACCGGAGACTCTGCAGAACCTACCTGGAGGAGTTCATCAAACCAGAGATGCTAGAGGGAGAGCTGGCCCTGGCACCAGGGTTCCCACTGCCCGGCAACATGGACTACAGTGCCTACCACCAGGTGGGGACCTGGGTCTCCCTCCTGTGCGGCCCAGGAGGACTGGAGACACCCGGGCAGGGCCAGGGGAGGACGGCTGAAAGAGCTGAGCTCATGGAGCGTGGCTCTCAGTCTGCTCAATTTGAGGGCTCCTATAGGATTTCTAGCCTCCAATTAATGACAAAATTGAACTTTCAGAGATCTTTTTATTCTTGACGTTCGGTTCAATAATTCTATTTGTTGCTCTTTTCTACAAACAACATCTCAGGCACTTACTTGATCGTTTTCATTCAAGATATTGACAAAACCATTAGGAGCAAAAATTCAGGTAAGAACTTAGCCAACTTTTTGGTTAAGTTTCTATTAGTGGTTCAGAATACCTTCAGAGGGACACGGTCTTATGGGCAGACCACTCACCCCTCCTATTCTCAGAGGCACGTACACACACCTAGAGAACATTTTCATGGAGCTTTTTCATACTGTTATTGGGTTTTCATTTTACTGTTCAGTTCAGTTGCTCAGTTGTGTCCGACTCATTTGCGACTCCCATGGACTACAGCACTCCAGGCTTCTCTGTCCAACACCAACTCCTGGAGATCGAGTCGGTGATGCCATCCAACCGTCTCATCCTCTGTCATCCCCTTCTCCTCCTGCCTTCAGTCTTCCCCAGCATCAGGGTCATTTTACTTTTACTTCAGTTATTTTTAAGGTATGCATCTTTGCCTGTTTAGCCCACCATGAAAATGTATTAAAAGGCAATTAGAACAAACAAAAAGAACTTTTTTGTTGCTTGACTTTTAAGATTCCTAAAAGAACCCTTGAATAACAAATTTAAGGGAAACACTGGTCATAGGAACATTAGCTACAAGCTTTACACAAATTTTTATTTCCTAAAATTTAAGAATGTGAGTCATATAAGTTACTCAATCCATAAAACTAAGTCTATGAGAAGAAATTAAAAACAATAAGACTCTTGAAAGTAAATAAAGGGAATTTTTTAAATAAACACTTTGAAGGCTTTAGCCAAGAAAGTTGTATAAGAGCGTCCCCTACTGTTGGTCGGTGGAACAACTTGACCAGAGGCTGGAGAAGGTGTTGGAGGATACGGTGGTTTGCAGGCTTCCCTCTCTGTAATCTGTCAGCTAATAGATGGTTATAGGGCACCTACCAAGAGTCCAGGAGCGTGTGCTGGGTGCTGGAAGAAATGCGAAAATAAACACGTGGATTTGCCTTTAAGGAATGAGCCATCTGTCGCTTAGACTCGGCTCTGTTGCTGTTGTGTGCTCAGTCACGTCTGAGTCTTGCGACCCCATGGACCATAACCCACCAGGCTCCTCTGTCCATGGGATTTCCCAGGCAAGAATACTGGAGTGGGTTGCCATGCCCTTTGATCCCGACCCAAGGATCAAACCCAAGGCTTTTGGATTGCAGGCAGATTCTTTCCCAACCACTGAGCCACCTGGGAAATCCCACTTAGCTCCAGATGGGCCCTGCTCCGACCTGCTGACTGCCCTGCAGAGGACGGCTCAGGTGGGAGAAGGGAGATACGTCTGGCTGGTTTTCAAGTGGGCTTGCCCTTGACTTTCAGTACATCGATGCCCAGCTGCCCCCAGAGTCGCCCTACCTGTACGGCCTCCACCCAAACGCTGAGATTGGCTTCCTGACCCAGACGTCGGAGAAGCTCTTTCGCACGGTGCTGGAGCTGCAGCCCCGGGACAGCCAGGCTGGAGAAGGAGCAGGAGCCACGAGAGAAGAAAAGGTATGTGGAAGGCTTGCCCAAGATATTCTGGGGGCCTAGTACTGCCCAGGGCGGCACTTCCGCTGCGGGCCTTGATGGGATGCACAGTGCAGACGTCAGGGCGCGCATGTTCCGCTGCCACGAACTCTGCAGCGTTCCTCTTCTAGGGCCCCGCCCGTCAGGTGACCTGGCGGGCCCTCAGGTTACCTAATAGGAGGCACCCGCTTTCTGTGTGTTGGTGTTCTGCTCATCCACCCAAAAAATGTGCAAGTCGTGCCCAACTCTCTGCGACCCCATGGACTGTAGCCCGCCAGACTCCTCTGTCCAGGGGATTCTCCAGGCAAGAATACTGGAGTGGGTTGCCATTTCCTTCTCCAGGGGCTGTTCCCAGCCCAGGAATCAAACCTGGGTCTCCTGCATTGCAGGCAGATTCTGTACCAACTGGACTGCTAACCCCAAGGCAGGTTTTATTCCTGTTTGTCAACCCAAGTGAAGAAAAGGCAGGGCTGAGCAGCTGTGGTTTGGGGACCTTGAAAAGGACCTCAAAAGGTTCTTTGGCAAACTAAGTAATGATGGGTGGGGAGCTGTTCTTAAACACCCCACCCTCACTCTGCCAAACTCGCTCATGTTTCAGATGAAAATGTTGTCTCTTTGTATGAATGACACTTAGTCCCAGAGCCTTCTAACATACAAGTAAGTGCTACTAAGTGCAGCACTTACCGAAACTAAAGGAAGATGGAGGAGAATTCTTGGGCAGAAGGGCAGAGGAGGGCGCGGAGTGAGTTTAGGGTGACCAGAGGCAACTTGGGAGCTCTGTTCCTGATGAGGGCTGAGCAGAAGGCAGAAAAGGAGGGAGCTCAAAGTGCAACTTGCCTGTGATGCTTCCCAGGACGAGGCAACTCAGTTTCCAAAGGTCGCATCTCCTTCACCTGCCTCCCCTCTGCAGTCCTGCCTGGTTTCCCTTAATTAGAGGTTCCCTGATACTTGGAAGATTATGGATTAAGAAACCTGGGGAGCTATCAAACATTTTGGCTCCAAAGACTGATTTCAGGAAAACAAACTGACTGATGGTAAAGGAGCTGGATATTTGTTTAAAGGTACAGAGTGATGTCATTAAAGTGACTCAAATTTTAATATGCTTTGGAGTGAGCTGGGGAGCTTCGGATAGATTCTGGGGTCTAGGGTGATGCCCAGGAATGTGTAGTCTTGCGATGGTGATGCTGGTGAACCTACTTGGAGAAAGCTGCTCTAAAGCCCGTGACTCAGCCTCTTTGATTCTTTGATGCATAGAGTGTAACTTGAGAACTAAAGGAAGATAAGAAAGCTTATGTGGCCCAAAACTCAAACCACCTAGTATCAAAAATGTTCCTACACAATAATGAACAACAAAAATGTTCACCACAATAAAGAGCAGCCTCCACTCACGGAAACTGGAGAAAGCCTGCATGCAAGAACACAAAAAGACCCAGTGCAGCCAAAATATAAATAAATAAAATTAATTAATTAATTTTTAAAAGTTCCTAGCTTTTTTAAAAATGAAAAGACTGGGACTATATAACTAATAGGCTTAGGGTTCTTCAGGCAGCGTTCAAATAAGTTTCTAGTTCTTGTCATTTCCTTATCCCCTTCTAACCACTTCAAGAAACAGTGTGTGTACGTATGTGTGTGTGCATGTGTATGTGTGTGTGTGACAGAGAGATGAACGAACTATGATCACTTGCCAAACTAGAAGAACCCATTTGCAACACAGCTATCAGGAACTGTGCAGATTTTTACTAATACACAGAGTTCTAACCTATGGAAGGAAAAGAAGGAGAGAAAAGAGAGAAAAGGGGAAAAGGACACAAAAGAAATTCACGTGATGATACAAATGGCCAATAAAAATAATTAAATATTCTCAACATCACTTGTAAGTAAATGAAGTTAAGTGAAATATGTTTCACACAATGGTAACATTTTTTTTTCCATTTGAGGATATCCAGTGGTAAGAGCCTAAGAAAACAGGCACTCTCATGTCTGTTATACAGATTTACACTGTAAAACAATTTGACAATAGCCACTAAAATTTTAAATGTTCATATGTGTTTCTCATAATTCTATTCCTACGATTTCAACCAGTGGAAACACTCAAAAGGGCACAGATTTTATGACAGATATCTTTATTGCAGAGTTGTTTATAGTAGCAGAAATGATAAGCAAGTAAACCAAATATCCATCAGTGGAGAAATGACTCAATAAATTATTTTGGCACATGCCAAAACAGTGAAATAATATATACTACTAAAAAAAAACAAGGAAAATCCGTATATGCTAGCAAGGGAACGTGTTCAAGATCTATTCTTAGGCGAATAAAGCAAGCTGAGGGACTTTCCTGGTGTCCCGGGGTTAAAACTCTGATCTTCCACTGCAGGGGGATAGGGATTGATCCCTAGTAGGGAAACTAACAGCCTACATGCCATGAAGAGCATTCAAAAGAAAACAGAAACAAAAAAACAAGCTGACAAAAGCTATGTGTATTATGATTCCATTAGTGATTGATAGAGAAAGAAGTGGAGAAGAAGCGAGAGGAAGGGATAGAGGGAAGAAGTGAGGCAGGAAGGAAGATATGACAGACATGTAAATATGGAGATGGGTGGGTGGGTGGATGGATGGATGGATGGATGGATGATGGATGATGGGTGTATGATGGATGGATGGATGGATGGATGGATGGATGGATGGATGGGGGTGAGGGACAGATAGAGTTATATGCATTGAAGAACACCTGCAGAAATTATAAACCAATAATTCACAGTGGGTTTTCTTTCCCTCTTTGAGGGAAGAGGCAAATTTGGGGGAGAATTTTACTTTTAATATCAGATTAAATATTTAGATCAAATATGTAATATTTAGATTTTCATGATAAGCACTTATTATCAGAGGTGTCTGCTTGCAGAAACGAGGTAGACCACACCCCTGGACACCCTCTGCTCTCGTCTGAAGGGTCCTCTTTATGTCTGTGGATCTGCTCCCTCCTCAGGCTGGCTGTCCAAACCCTCCACCACCTGATCAGTGACAGAGAGAATTCTGTGTCCCCACCTTCACCGTGTTTTGAAACAGTTAACTCCAGACTGTCTTTTCCTTTCTTTGTGACTAATGTCCAAATGGCAGCTCGCTGATACAGGGCTGTTTCTTCCAATTCAGCTCAGCAGACAGAGATGTGCTGTAGTTTTAGCAATTTGTCTTCTGGTCCAGCAGCAGCTTCCAGGTGCCATTAAAATTCCATCCCAGTTTTCGCTATGACAGCACCAGAGACCCATTTGTGACACGGCAATGAGTTTTTAACTCTCTTTTTTCTGACATCAGCTCTTTTCCTNTAACTTTCTTTTTTCTGACATCAGCTCTTTTCCTAGAGAACACATTGTTTGTTAACAACACAAGGCAAAGTGAATATTAATAATCGTGTACATATATAGAGTTCTTTCTAGCTTTCAGATGCCACCACATTCATCAGACATCTTTTGGTTTTGATCTCTTCACAAGCCCCAGGAGCTGATGTGGGAGAAAGACACCTTAGAAATTTTTATAGATGAGGAAATGGAGGCCTAAATGACTTGCTTAAATTCACACGGGTAATACACAACAGCTTGGTGTTAACTCAGTCAGGGTTCTTTGGTTGTGAAGAACAGAGACCAATTTGGCTGAAACAGGCAAGAAATAGCTCATTGTATTGAAGGAATACACCGAAGAAAGGACAGAAACCACAGTGACTCTGGGTCCCTGGGAGGAGGAAGGGTGGATCATCCTTTCAGAGCACTTCCCTCCGCTTTCTGCGCCTGAATCCTGACTTGAGGTTCAATTCTCACGCTCCTGGAAAATATCATCTGATTGGCCCACTTGTGTCATGGGAGGGCTGGGCATGGACTGTGCTCCCGAACAGCAAACAGCGGGGAAAAGGTAATTTCACAAAAGGAGACATGGCCCTGTTACTAGAAAAGGGGGATGAGATGGAGCCAGAACGGCATCCACCACACACGTCCACCCGCTCGCCCGACTCCGGGCTGGCACTGTTCCCTGGCCCCTTCTCTCTACCTTCCAGCGCCCCTGCCAGCCACATGCTCTATTAAACCTGCACTGTCATTTTTCTTTGTCTGCTGACAGAGCTCCTAGGCCTACTTCTAAATGGCAGACTCGGCCTCCCAATGTGTTTGTGAGTCGCTCCGTCGTGTCTGACTCTTTTGTGACCCCCTGGACTGTAGCCCACCAGGCTCCTCTGTCCGTGGGATTCTCCAGGCAAGAACACTGGAGTGGGCTGCCCTGTCCTCCTCCAGGGAGAAGCTGGAGCCTCGTCCTAACCACGTGTTTCCCGTCCTGGGGCAGGTCAAGGCAGTCCTGGAGGAAATACTGGAGCGGGTGACAGATGAGTTTAACCTCCCAGAGCTGATGGCCAGGGTGGAGGAGCGCACCCCCTACGTGGTCGTGACACTCCAGGAGTGCGAGCGGATGAACTTGCTCACCAGACAGATGCAGCGCTCCTTGCGGGAGCTGGACCTTGGACTAAAGGTGGGTGAGGCCAGGCTGGGGACAGGGCACCGGGGAGCAGCAGCCTCACTACCCAGGAAGGTGCCCCTCCTAGAAACAGAGTGTGGCTGGGCCACAGGGGTGGGTGAGACAGGCTCCGTAGCTGGAATCTGGGAAGGTGGACTGAGCTATGAGGGGCAAGCTGCCCAGAGCCCACGCGCTCTGAGCTCCAGGCAGGAGAGAAGTCTACACCCAGTGTCTTCTGCTGACGTGGGTGGCGTGGCTTTCACAGGAGGTAGAAGTGTGTGTGCTGCTGCATTGAAGCACAGGGTCTAGACATCCCGGACCACCTCCCCGCTCTGCTGCGTCCTCAGCGTGTGGCCCCAGAGTGACTTAAGCCCCACTGCGTCCCAGTTCCTTTACCCGTAGTAAACCAGGGGGAGTGGTCCTGCCTCTGGGGGCTTTGGGAAGGATTCAATAAATCTATTTGCATGGGTTTCCCAGTGGTAAGGAATCTACTTGCCAATGCAGGAGACATAGGTTCCATCCCTGGGTAGGGAGATCCCCTGGAGGAGGGCATGGCAACCCACTCCAGTATTCTTGGCTGGAGAATCCCCATTGACAGAGGGGCCTGGCGGGCTACAGTCCACAGGGTTGGTTGCAAAGAGTCAGTGACTAAATGATAACATCATAGTATGTTGTAGGACAATGCCTACATGTGGCAAGTACCCAGAAGTGTAAGTACGTACAAATGAGTTCCATTCCCAGAGCGCATTTATAAGTCCACTTGGCTCATAAAACCAACAAAGTTAGCCTAGGTACCCAACTAACACAAATGGCTATAAAGCACTGTGCTGTAATAGTTTTATAATACTTTTCACACCAATAATACATAAAAACTAACACAAAAAATAAAGCATTTTTAATCTTATATCACAGTACTTTGAAAAGTACAGTTGTCCAGCACAACAGCCGGGACACAGGGCTGGTATCAAGTGAACAGGCAGGAAAAGTTACTGATGGAGGAGGGAGAGGAGGAAGGAGATGGTAGAGCTGAAGGGTCGTCAGCAATAGGCGACAGAGGGCAAGCTGTAATGTCACGCATGCCTGATGTGGATGGATGCCTGACATCAGCATCTTTGAAAGTTCACAACTTGAAGGTTCATATGTAGGGGACTTACTGTATTATTACTGCCCCATCGGGGGAAGTCCTTCATTGGAAGGACTGATGCTGAAGCTGAAGCTTCAATACTGTGCCCACCTGATGTGAAGAGCCGACTCACAGGAAAGGATCCTGATGCTGGGAAAAACTGAGGGCAGGAGGAGAAGGGGGAAACAGGATTAGATGGTTGAATGGCATTGCCAACTCGATGGACATGAGTTTGAGCAAACTCTGGGAGATAGTGAAGAAAAGGGAAACTTGGCTTGCTGGAATCCACAGGGTCGCAAGGAGTCAGACCTGACTGAGCAACTGAACGACAACAATGATCAGAGGAAAGGAAAGAATCTTAATCTTTTGCAACCTCACGGTTATGTGAAACATCCAAGATGCTACACAGGCTCTGATAGTTCCCACGAGCAATGAGAGTCCATTATTTATACCACCAGTTATTGAACACATCTACTTCATTCACCATCAGAAAATTCCATCAAGTGCCCAGCACAAAGCCTAACGGAAAAGCCCTGTTAAAACCATTCACCTGGGAGGGCCTGCTGCCCTTTAGGAGCTGAGGAATGCAGCTACTGTCAGCTTACAATGGCACACGTATTAAAAGCGTTGTATCTCCAGGCAGAGGGGCAGGGCGAACCCAGTTTCATAGCTGGAGGTGGAAGCTCAGTCCAGCCCTGGACATCCAGGGCTGTGATATGCCACCACCCTTGAATTTGGCTCTTGGAGTTATATGACCACCGTCAGGCGTGCAGAGGACACGCAGCTGTGAGTGTCTTCACGTGTAGTCACATAGAAACTGAAAAAGACGCAGAAAAACCAGAGAGAGGTTTTTTTTTTTTAATCTGTTAATTTGCCTTCTGCCCCAATATGGATAGAAGGAAATAAGGAGAAAAGAGGGATGGGAAGAGATGCTGAAGATTGATGCTGCTCCATAATGTTTTAAAATTACACACCAGCTTACATCCTGTATCAAAGGAAATACAGAATTTCACAGAACAACCTCAGATGTAAATAAGGACCTTGGCTGTCATTTTATGTGGCTCGATTCCTGAGATACGCAGGTCGATATTAGTAATTATCTTGAGTTGGCGTGTTGCAATCTTAGTTTATTGAATCCATGCAGTTTGGCGCAGTCTGTTTACCCATCAGCTTCCAATTCACTTGCTCATTTTTCTTCCAAGAGCTTTTGCTGGGGTTTGGTGTCATGAATTTCAGCGCGTGCCTGCGTGAAGATGGAGGGGGTGAGGAGGGAGTTGCTCTTTTCTTCCAGTCTAGCTTGAGAGGGCTGGTGGACAGGCAGCCTTGGCTCTCACTTCAGCCTGGAGGAGGCAGTGGAAACTGATGGGAGCCTTCCTTTCCAGGTGGAGAGTCTGGTGGGAAAAGAAACACAGAGAATGATCACAGTACCAGACACGGCTGATTGCAAGGAGGTGGGAGGAAAAGGGAAGAGACAAGTGTGTGGGAGGAGAAGCGGCATCCAGAGGGGCTTTGGAGGAAGGGTAGAATTATGACAGCTGATGATAAGAGGAATCTGCTGAGTAGCCCTAAGCCTGTTCTAAGAGTTAACTTGCTTTGGCTGGAGCAGAGAGTCCACTCAGATGTGTAAGAGTGATATGGTAAACTTCAAAAAGAAGAAAAGAGCAACTCCTTTGCTACCCAAAAGGTACTAGCTGAACTGAGCAGCACAGCACTCAAACCCCCACGGACTGTGGGAACCCACAGCACACAGCACGCAGAAGTAACCCTCTGTGTGAGGGCTGCCATCCACAGCCGTGTTCCCACAGAGGGGAATACAGGAAAGAGACAGGCATCTGGCTCTCAGCCTTTCACAGTGAAGAGCCAGGTCCTGTGAGTATACCAGAGCTGATTGGCCAAAAGTACTGACTCATATTAACCAAACGCACAAAAGCCTGATGTACGAAACTGTCAGCTGTCACTTTATTCTTTTACAATCAACTAGGTTATAACTTTCAAAGGATCTACTGGTGGCAGCTTTCCCAGAAAATCTCTGCCTGTGCAAGAAAACGACAGGAGAAGCTACATTCTTATGCACTGTCCAGGACGGCGGGCTTCACTGGTAGCTCAGATGGTAAAGAATCCACTTGCCAACGCGGGAGACCCAGCTTCGGTTCCTGGGCCGGGAAGATCCCCTGGAGATGGGAATGGCAACCCACTCCAGTATTCTTGCCTGGAGAATCCCCATGGACAGAGGAGTCGGGCAGGCTACAGTCCATGGGGTCACAAAGAATCTGACATGATTGAGCAACTGAGCATACACATCCAGGATGGTAGCCATGAATGACAGGTTAGCGCTTGAAATGTGCTCAGTCCACACCGAGATGTGCTACAAGTGCCAGTTAAATGCCAGATTTCAGAGATATAGGGCAAAAAAGGGAAAATGCCCTATTGATAATTTTTATATTGGTTGCATATTAGAATATTTGACATTTTAAATATATCACATTAGGTAACATATTATGAAAATTAAATTCACCTCTTTTAAATTTTTTAAAGTGGTTACCAGAAGATGTAAAATGACACACATGCAATATTTTGAATTTTCTTGTATTTATTTTTTACTTATTTGGCTGCATCCAGTCTTGGCTGCAGCACACAGGACCTTTGTTGCCTCCTGCAGGCTTAGTGGCTCCAAGGCATGTGGGCTCTTAGTTCCCCAAGCAGGGATCGAAACCGCATCCCCTGTTTTGCCAGGCAGATTCTAAACCACTGGACCATGAGGGAAGTCCCAGTTTTGTGAATTTTAAATGTAAAATTACCCACTCACAACTTGTGTTACATTTCATTTGGGTCATGCTCTCTTAGATGGTGTCCTGGCCAGTCCAGCGTCTGGGACCAGGAGCTGTTTTTTATTATTCAGATGTTTGATGGCATCAAACATTTCCCCCTCGCCCCCCCCCCCCCCCCCCCCCCCCCCCCCCCCCCCCCCCCCCCCCCCCCCCCCNGCCCCTCCTGACTGACAGATTCTGTTTTTCTAAACATGTGAAAGATGTTCAGGCTTAAAGCCCAGCTCGACGATTTGAGGGACTGCTCTGGCACTTTACTTTCATCCATTGTATGTTGACTTAATAGTTCAGCTCTTGCTCTGGCCATTTAGTGACTGATGTCACCACCACACAGGCAACTGCCCTGGCCCGTGTGCCTGCTGGCGTACATGGATGGACCAGCTGCTGTCACTCACAGTCTGGGCGCCAGACTGGCCGGGGTGGAACCCACATAATTCCCCGGCTTCCCTCCCCATCTCATCACCCCCTGCATCTCGTACGAATGACAGCTGGTTGCAAAGACCATCTTCATAGGGAAGGAAGGGAGGACCAAGGCTGACCTTCAGGTCAGGGGGCAGCCTGTAGCCCCTGGAGAAGGGCATGTGTGGGCATTGCTGATGCCGTGGTGTGGACACTGGCCACATGCATGTGAGCCCAGAGCACTGGCCACTTCCCACCCCCAAGAAGGGACCGTTTCTGGCCATCCAGAGTCCTTCAGTTTGGACTGGAGTCTGTGAATTTGCACTCTTCACAAGCTTCCTCACTTAAAGCGATGAAGGCTTAGAGGGAAAATCATATTTTTATTTTTGCTGATGCTCAGTCATGTCCAACTCTTTGTGACCCCTTGGACTGCAGCATGCCAGGCTTCCCTGTCCTTCTCCATCTCCCGGGGTTTGCTCGAATTCATGTCCATTGAATCGATGATGCCATGCAACCATCTCATCCTCTGTTGCCCCCTTCTTCTCCTGATATCAAAGAAAGACTGAAAACATTTATTTATAGGGACGAGAAAAAGTGCTTAAGGCCACATCCAGGTAGCCCTCGTGCCCGTGATAAAGCTCCCGCCAGTCTTCAGTTCTCCAGTTTCCCTGCAGTGTGGACATGGGACAGGCCAATCACAGGACCCGAAGTGTGGCGTCTTTTTAAGGATTTAGTGTTTTCTTTGTACGTTTTCTTTCTATTGACTCTTGACCTGTGAGCAAATAATAAGCAAAATAATAAGCATTTAATCTGTCTGTGTTCCAAGCGACCGAGGCAGGAGGAGTTTGAGGATGTCGGGGTGAGCAGACGGAAGCAGGTTTCTTTATGTGGGTAGCTGGAATCTTCACAAAAGGCTTCCTTACCCACCATTTGGCCCCTGAGACTTCCTCTGTGCACCCCAAACCCCCACCCCGCAACCCCAGCCTGTACTGATCTGGCTGTGCCTGAGGAGACTAATCTTCTCTGCACACTTTTCAGGAAATGCTGTCCCAGTCTGTAGGTTTATTCCTCTTCTTCTAAGAAAGGGATTTAAGTTACACTGCGCTAATTTAGTGTAGGGCTCTCTCTGGGTTCTTCTCTTCTCTCCTCTGAAAATGAGCTATTTCTACTTCCACTCGAGGTCATGGACAGATCCGAGTTCAGAACCCTAATCACCAGATGAATGGCTTCTTCTTTTCCTAAGTTGTTCCTGGTTTTGCTCTCAAACGAGCAGAACCTAAGAGATGACACCTTCCTTAAGGTTCCATCACTCTCACATTCAGTTAGTAAATGCGAGCTCGCTGTCAGAATAACTTATAAGCGGATGTGAGAAATTTTTAAGAAAGCCAAGTTATACATTTTGTGCTTCCCTGCTGTCAAAACAACTTTAGATTTCCGGAGAGTGTTAACAATTAAGTGTTGCGTACACATTTTTTATTGTCTGACTTTATTTTTTAGAGCAGTTTTAGGTTTACAGCAAAATTGAACAGAAGGTACAGACAGTTCCCGTTTACTCCTCCCCCCGCCCCACTCCCCACCATGCACAGCCTCCCCACCATCAACATCGCCACCAGAGCGGTCTGTTAGTTACAGCTGAATCAAAACTTCCATCACAATCCTCAAAGTCACCTATGGTTTACCTTAGGATTCACTCTTGGTGTTGTACATTCTATGGATTTGGACAAATGGATAATGACGTGGGGGCTTCCCATGGCAAATGGTGGCTCAGTGGTAAATCCACCCACCGATGCAGGAGACACAGGAGACGTAGGTTCGATCCCTGTGTTGGGAAGATCTCCTGAAGAAGGAAATGGCAACCCACTCCAGTATTCTTGCCTGGGAAGTCCCATGGACAGAGGAGCCTGGCGAGCTACAGTCCATGGGGTCGCAAAGGGTTGGACACGACTTATTGACTAAACAACAACATGAAGACATGACCCACCATTACAGTGTCTTACAGAAGAGTCTCACTGCCCTAATATTGCATTAACTTTATTCTTAAGCACAGGACTTCTTACAACACATATCAGAGAAACGGAGGTTTACAGGGCCTCCGTTTTCAGAAGTGGCACATCTCTGTGTGAGACGAGGTCACACAGGGTTAAGGGGTTGAAGTGGCTAGAGGAGATAACCAGGCAACAAAGGGCTCCTCTGTGCCAGCAAGTGACAGTGGCTGGCAGAGCCCAGGGCTCCATCTGAGCTCATCTCTGCCAGTCTCCCTGCCACAGCCCTCAGAGACGCGCCAAAGGACTGGGACATTTCCATCTTAGTTTTTCCAGTGGTGCTGACCCAGTTCTGTTAGGTCATGTTGTAGGATGAATCCAGGGTGGGAGCCCTTACCTTCCCATCGACTTATGACAGCATTCACAAGTACAACATACTTCCACAGATGCACCCAGACTCAAGAGAACCCACAACACTGTGGTGGAGAAGCAAATGTATTTGGTGTATTATTTATAAAAGCACTTTATGTGAGTGTACGGGCCATTGAAAACTTAAAATTTTTATTTTAAAAGGAAAATTAAATACATCCTGTGTCTTTTTTTCAGTCTATTGGACTATTTTTTTTTTTTTGTAATGAATCCTGGTTTGTTTATGTATCTTTTTATGCACAGTTTAATAAGCATGTACTCTTATATGTCCATAAACAAATTTTATTAAAACTGCAACATAGAGGATTTTTAACACAACCCTGACAAAAACATACACAGTGCAGCTTAATTAGCAAACAGAAAACTAGGCCTTTCTGTTTAGAACAGTGCTGTCCAATAGAACTCTCTGTGATGATGGGAAGATTCCATGTCTGTGCTAATAAGGGCACATGTGACTGCTGAGGACATGAACTGCCAGGAAGGAACGGATATTTAATTTTATAGTTCTAAGTCATGCATGCATGCTCAGTCACTAAATCGTGTCCAACTCTTTGTGACCCCATGGACTGTAGCCGCCAGGCTCCTCTGTCCATGGGATTTCCCAGGCAGGAATACTGGATGGGTTGCCATTTCCTCCTCCAGGGGATCTTCTTGACCCAGGGATTAAACCATCTCCTACGTGGGCAGGAGGATTCTTTACCACTGAGTCACCTGGGAAGCCTCAATTTTAAGTCACTTGTGCTTAAATAGCTTCATAATACTGATGGTCATCATATCAGACATGGCAGGCCTTGTTGGGTACCATATTTCCTGTGTAGAAACCACTGAAATAGAGATGACGGCTTCAAGAAACTGTCGATCCTTGGCATAACTAAGGTTACAAAGTTTAAAGATGGTTTTCAATGTCAGTGTTCCTTCACAAATTTTCATCCAGCAAATGCAAGAGGGTCTCTATTAGTTGGCTATGTCTCTAATAGCTTGGTTTCTGAAGGAAATTCTTGATTTGGGGGGATATAGATCCTCCTGGCTTTGGCTTCTTGCATTTACTGAAGAAAGGTGCCCTTCATGGAAGGTGCTCACTGGGACACCTGGGTAGACCCCAGGGTGGGGAGGGGGGTGGGGAGGCAGTGCAAAGTGCATCACCTGCAGGCTGATTACACACACATTGCCCCTTCCCCTCTGGCTGTTTGTCTTCAGGGAGAGCTGACCATGACCAGCGGCATGGAGAGCTTACAGAACGCCCTGTACCTGGACACAATGCCAGAGTCCTGGGCCAGCAGAGGCTGCTGCCAAGGCTGGAGGAGAACAGAGGAGCCCAAACTTGAGGGTCGGGTGGAATCAGTATGGGCTTCCCTGGTGGTTCAGTGCTAAAGAATCTGCCTGCCAATGCAGGAGACACAGGTTTGATCTGGGTCTGGAAGATTACCTGGAAAAGGAAATGGCAACCCACTCCAGTATTTTTGACTGGAAAATTCCATGGACAGAGGAGCCTGGCAGCTTGCAGTCCATGGGGTCACAAAGAGTTGAACTCAAGTGAGCAACTGAGCGCGGAATTAGTGTGGAACCCACAGGGAGTTTTAGGTCCAGAGTGAACCTAAACTACTGTCGGTGGATAGGTGTAGACTCCGATATCACTGGAGCAGGGAAAGTTTTAAAGGACCAGCCTCTATGAGACAAACCTACAAATCAAGTGCTAGACAGGGACCATCATTGGGTTGCCCACCTCTGCAGTCATCTCCTGCCTTCCCCAACATCCCCAAGGCCAGCTGTTTCCAGGGACCTGCCACCCTTCACTTTTTCCCCTCTGGCTGTTTGTCTTCAGGGAGAGCTGACCATGACCAGTGACATGGAGAGCTTACAGAATGCCCTGTACCTGGACACGGTGCCAGAGTCCTGGGCCAGACGAGCCTACCCCTCCACGGCAGGCCTGGCAGCCTGGTTTATGGACCTGCTTAACCGGATCAAGGAGCTGGAGGCCTGGACAGGCGACTTTGCCATGCCCTCGACTGTGTGGCTGACGGGCTTCTTCAACCCCCAGTCCTTCCTGACGGCCATCATGCAGTCCACGGCCCGCCGGAACGAGTGGCCCCTGGACCAGATGACCCTGCAGTGTGATGTGACGAAGAAGAACAGGGAGGAGTTCAGGAGTCCCCCGCGGGAAGGGGCCTACGTGCATGGCCTCTTCATGGAAGGCGCTCGCTGGGACACCCAGGTAGACCCTGGGTTGGGGTGGAGGGGCAAAGGTTATCACCTGTAGGCTGATTGCACACACACTGCCTCCTCCTGTAAGGTCCAGTTGCTTAAAGGGGGGCCCTGGAGACTTCTGCCCTGGATAACCTCTCCTTGAGGCTGTCAGATCATTTCCCTGCAGCCACAGTTTGAAAGCATCAATTCTTCGGCACTCAGCCTTCTTTATGGTCCAACTCTCACATCCATATGTGACTACTGGAGAAACCAGAGCTTGGACTATATGGACCTTTGTTGGCAAAGTAATGTCTCTGCTTTTTAATGCGCTGTCAAGGTTTGTCATAGCTTTTCTTCCAAGGAACAAGCATCTTTTAATTTCATGGCTGCAGTCACCATCCACAGTATTTTGGAGCCCCCCAAAATAAAGTGTATCACTGTTTCCATTGTTTCCCCATCTATGTGCCATGAAGTGATGGGACCGCATGCAATGATCTTAGTTTTTTGAATGTTGAGTTTTAAGTCAGCTTTTTCACTCTCTTCTTTCACCTTCATCAAGAGACTCTATAGTTCCTCTTTGCTTTCTGCCATTAGGGTGTCATCTGCATATCTGAGGTTATTATTGATATTTCTCTCAGCAATCTTGACTCCAGCTTCTGTGTCATTCAGTCTGGCATTTTGCATGAGGTAATCTGCGTATAAGTTAAATAAACAGGGTGACAATATACAGCTGTGACATACTCATTTCCCAATTCTGAACTAGACCTTTGTTCCATGTCTGGTTCTAATTGTTGCTTCTTGACCTGCATACAGGTTTTGCAGGAGGCAAGTAAGGTTATCTTCTGATATTGCCATCTCTTTAAGAATTTTCCAGTTTGTTGTGATCCACCCAGTCAAAGGTTTTAGTGTAGTCAATGAAGCAGAAGTGGATGTTTTTCTGGAATTTCTTTGCTTTTTCTATGATCCAATGGGTGTTAGAAATTTGATCTCTGGCTCCTCTGCCTTTTCTAAATCCAGCTTGTATACCTGGAATTTCTCAGTTCATGTACTATTGAAGCCTCACTTGAAGGATTTTGAACATTACCTTGCTAGCATGTGAAATGAGCATAAGTGTGTGGTAGTTAGAACATTCTTTGGCATTGCCCTTCTTTGGGATTGGAATGAAAACTGACCTTTTCCAGTCCAAGAGACTACCTCCCATTTTTTCATTACCTTGTTTCCGAATGATAATAAAACCAAAAATAACTCAAAGTCTATATCCCAGAAAGCACTGAGCAAAAAGGGAATGGTAAGGATATCCAAAATTCCTATCCTCCATAAAACAAGGGCATTAGCAAAAAGAAAAAAATATGTATATATTAGATATAACAACTTCTGTCATCAGCATAAGGGGTTCAGCATCACCTAGACAGAGGCGAGGAATCTGTGAATCTCTCTGGATGATCATCTCCCCAAGTGTGTTCGGAAGACACTAGTGATGGGAGATGGCTAGGTTGCAAGAAAGGGGCCCTGTGGTCAAAGTTTGGGAAACACTGGGATAAATAAAGTGAAACTTTTTTCTTTACTGTCAGGTCTTCTTGCCTTCATTGTGTGTGATAAAGCTTCACGTACAGTGTATGGTAATGCCAGTAGGCTCTGTCTTGCTCAGCTTTATGTCCCTAGCACCTAGCATGACATCTGGCAAATAGCTGCATTCAGCATGCTTACGAAATGAATGATCAAATAAAACAGAGATTCAAGCCCTAAAGAGATTCATTTACATATGATATATGACAGCTTTTGGAACTCTGCTTTGAGAAGATATTCAGGCTGAAAACCAGTAGGAATATGTTATGCACCCCCTCCAGTGCATGGGCTTCCCCGGTGGCTCAGTGGTAAAGAACCTGCCTGCTAAATGCAGGAGACATAGGCGACAAGGGTTGGATCCCTGGGTTGGGAAGATCTCCTGGAGGAGGACGTGGCAATGCACTCCAGTATTCTTGCCTGGAGAATCGCATGGACAGAGGAACCTGGTGGGCTACAGTCCATAGCGTCATACAGAGTTGGACACAACTGAAGTGACTTAGCATACACTGGTGCACGCCACCTTGGGTTGTTGAGAGAACCTTGCAGGGGGGTGGGCCTGGGGGCAGCCTGGCCATCTGTCTCTCTCTCTCCTGGATCTCCCGACAGGAGTGAGGCTGCCTGTCCGGGCTCGGGGCCTGACCTGAGAGGTGCTCTCTTGAATCCTTGTCCTCAGGCTGGGATCATCGCCGAGGGGAAGCTGAAGGAGCTGACACCCCCCCTGCCTGTGATGTTCATCAGGGCTGTCCCTGTGGAGAAGCAGGACTGCCGCGGTGTCTATCTCTGTCCTGTGTACAAGACCCGTCAGCGGGGACCCACCTACGTGTGGACTTTCCAGCTGAAGACTAAGGAGAAGCCATCCAAGTGGGTTCTGGCCGGAGTCGCCTTGCTTCTGCAGGTTTAGCTTCCTGCAGAACCCCCGAGGAAGCAAAGTTGGGCTGGAGGCTGCCCAGAGGGACTGGTGGGTGAGGGCTAAGACCACAGCCATAGAGAAAGATAAGAAATGGATAGTACTCACAGTTCTGAAGACTTCCTTTGGGGAACTCGAGAGAAGTGCCTAAAGTGAGGTTGAGCTGGAGGAGAATGGACCTAGGAACTAGGATAGAAGAGTTTCCTAACACTGGCCCTTTCCTAATAAAGTGATTTGCTCTTCAACTGTGTTTGGCCCAGGCTCTGAGTGTTGCAGGGTCAGAAGTTATCGTGACAAGCCCGAGAGAAAGAAGCCACAGATCCCTGAGCCCTGACATTACATGACCCCACATCCAGTGCTCTGGTTTCTGGCTAGTCTGTGGGCCAGCAGCCCCAGGCTCACCTGTGAGGCAGAGTCTACATTTTAACAAGCACCCCAGGTGATCTATATGCATGTTACTCTGGATCAGGGGGTCACCAGACTTTTTTCTGTTAAGGATCATAGAGCAAATATTTTAGGCTTTGCAGGGCATATTGTTTCTGTCCAACTGCTTAGCTCTGCCACTGTAACCCCAAAGGAGCCACAGACATACATACATAAGTAGATGTGGCCACATTTCATTAAAACTTTATTTACAAAAAGCCATGTTTTGCTGATCACTGCTCTAGAGGATAAGGGAGGTATACGTGCAATATTTGGGCTTCCCTGGTGGCTCAGCGGTAAAGAATCCCCCAGTCAATTCAGGAGACACAGGTTCAATCCCTAGGTCGGGAAGATCCCCTGGAGAAGGAAATGGCAACCTGCTCTAGTATTCTTACCTGGAGAATCACAGGTACAGAGGAGCCTGGCGGGCTACTGGGTCACGAAGAGTCAGATATGACTTGGTGACTGAATGACAACAAATATGCAATACATATCTTCAGTTAATCCCCACAAACATCTATCAAGTGTTTTTATCTAACATCTAACTACTTCTTGCTGAGGACAAAGCCACAAACAAGGTAGGTTGTTTCCTTGTCTCTCCGTCATCTGTCAGATCATTTAAGAGGGGCCCAAGGAGAAACATTTCACCGAAAGCTTTCTCACGTACAATTTTCCTCAATTTTCCTGTGGAACACATTCTTGCTGGATGCCCAACAAAACCTATGTGTTTTCATGAGTTGTAAAGCTCCCTTTGTGGGGCTTGTTTGTTGTCTGGGCAGGCTCCCTGTTCCTTCTAGGATCTTTATTCCCGTGTATCCTTGGAGAAACATTTTTTAATTAATCACTACTTAGAAAAGTGGTTCTTAATTTTGAGCAGGTATCAGAATCCCCTGGAGGACTCATTAAAACAAAGTTCTGTGGGCATCCTTCAGCGTTTGACCTGGTAAGAAACTGCCGATGCTGCAGGTCTCAGGACCGCACTTTGAGAACTGCTTACTCCAAATGTAAAATCCCACCCTCCTACAAACCTCTGCTATGAGAGGACAGAATCTAATGCCGACTCCACCATGATCTCCCTGCTTTCTGCCTTGTGGTTCCCACAACCTCAAAAGAGGGCCCTCCCTCCTCATCTTTGTGCCAAAAGGGAGGTGATACATTCCTCCGGAATCCAGGGATTCCAACTTAAGAGTCATCTCTTGTGCATCAACCAGAAAAGCACTTTCTGCTCTTTGCCTGCAGTTTACAGTCTCTTGCCTAGAGGTCATGTTTCTGGGGAGTCAGCTCTGTCCTCCTCATCAGCGTCATCCTGCCTGCCCTGTCACTGGGAACAGTATGCTAAGAGCGGGCAGAGTAGGACCAAGATGGAAGGGGAGTGGTCTCGCTGAACCAGAGCAGGACACCCTGGGTCACGTCACTTTCGAGGACAAGGACAAGTGGAGAGGTTAGATGTATCTGTTAACAAACCTGAGTTGTTGAGTCGCTAAGTCACATCTGACTTTTTGCGACCCCATGGACTGTAGCCTACCAGGCTTCTCTGTCCAAGGGATTTTCCAGGCAAGAATACTGGAGTGGATTGCCATTTCCTCCTCCAGAGGATTCTCCCTACCCAGAGATCGAACCCAGTCTCCTGCATTGGCAGGCGGGTTCTTTATTGCTGAGCCACCAGGGGTCTAGACACTCTATAAATTGAATTGATGCTATTGATTTCTTCCTAACACATACAGACTAAATGAGATAACGAAGACAATTTTATAGCCCAGGACACTTTGGCAAAAATGATGGATGGCCAAAGGGGGACACTGGGAGAAAGAGGGGCAACTGGAAGCCCCAGAGCAGATGGGAGGCAGGCCTGGGAAGAGGACACCAGGATGCCCGGCAGTGGGCGAGCTCTTACCCTTGCACCAGGCTGCTATGTTCCTGTCACTGTCCCTCTGATGGTAAATTTGGGGAGTTTGTTTGAGTTAATCTGGGAGCTCGAGCACCACTGAGGGTTTGTGAGTTTCAGTCAGCTCACAGTGGATACTGCACACACAGACGAGATAGGGAGTGACCACCCAGTTTATTGAAAGTTAGCTTTGCACCCATACGACAGAGACCACACGTGAGCCCACTGGCCTCTTTGCTTCCCCTTCTGGAACAGAAGACCTGCTCTAGGACCATAGTTCTGAGGGCAGATCCAGTGAAACTCTTTCCAGAGAGCACTCCTAAAACGGGACCTCCAAATGACACGTCTTTCCCAAGGGGTCTGGGAGGACAGACGAGTGGAAAGAGGAAGACTTCTCTTTCTCCTGATGCAGAAGCAAGAAAGTTAACCCATGTGAGATCCGACCCAGAGGCCGAGCGCTTCTCCTTGCCTAAAGCCGTGTTCTGGTCTCTGCTCTGCAGTCCACGGAAGACTGAGAGGATAGGGGTGCTTTCTAAGGGATGCAGTTCCTTGGGATGGAGCCAAGTCTTCTCGAACGGACCATGGGACAGAATGGGGCTCTTTGAGCCCGGCTACGGGTGGGGCTTCTTTCCCAGGTGGGACCTCTGATGCTTGTCGAGGCTCGAGCTCCAGCTGAAGCTCTTGCCACAGCGGGTGCACTTGTAGGGCTTCTCGCCTGTGTGCACCCTCTGGTGCCGGTTGAAGTTGGACCTCTGGATGAAGCTCTTCTCACACATGGGGCACTTGTAGGGCTTCTCACCCGTGTGGATTTTCTTGTGGTAGCGCAGCCCCGAGAAGTCACTGAAGCCCTTCCCGCAGTAGTCGCACTTGCAGGGCTTCTCCCCCGTGTGAATCCGCTGGTGCTTCACGAAGCTGGAGCTCCGCAGGAAGGCCTTTTGGCAGGTGGGGCACTGGAAATATGTCTCCCGGCTGTGAGTTCTTTGGTGGAAAACCAGCTGTGAGTTCCGGTAGAAGGTCTTGCCACACTCCCTGCAGGTGTGGAGTCTCTGGGCCATGGGGGCCCTTGCCTGCCCCCGCGGGGCAGCCTCTCTCTTCTCCTCAAGCCATGGTGCGGGCGGCTCCCCGGGAAGCGGGGGCAGCAGGTGCGGGCCTGGCAGCGTCCTGGAATTTGTCTCCCGGGGGCAGAGCTGACCGCCCGCCCCCTCGCCCTGCAGGTTCCCCCGGACCACCGAGAGGTCCTCTCCTTCTCCAAAGGGTCTTGGCTCGTCCTCACCGAAGAGGCCGCTCAAGGGAGTCTGAGGGGGAGGCTCTCCTGAGGCCGGAGGGTCCTGGGCCCTGTAGTTCTCCAAGTTCAGGTTCTCTTTGTCATTCTCCCCTCCGTCCCCTGGAAGGACAAAGAAGATGCAGGATAGCTCAGTCAGCGGTCCGCCCTGCTTGCCAACCTGTGTGTCAGAGAAAGAGTCAGCACAAGACATAATGACTTCTCTTTACCAAGAAGAAGGAAAATGCGGTCGGACCTGAGCACCCGGCACTCATTTCGCGTGTGTCCAGGCCGTGACTCAGCTCTGGACAGGAGGAGAACGAGAGACAGCAGAGGACGGCTTCCAGAGGCCGCAGTGGCTGCCTCGGAAGAGCAGCAGCCAGCTTCTGAAGCCCAGGAGGAGCAAGTCTGTATAGGACAGCACTACGCTAAAGAGTATTGGTTTTTATCTGATTATATAAAAAGGATAAATATGATCACAAAAAATAATTTGAAAAGCATATGAAAGAAAAAAATCAGCCTTAATGATAGCACCTGGAGGCAGCTACTGTGAGTGTACATTTCCTTCCAATCTTTCATTTAAACACGTATGTCAGGAAGATACCCTGTTGAGGGCATAGCAACCCACTCCAGTATTCTTGCCTGGAGAATCCCCATGGACAGAGGAGACTGGCGTGCTACAGTCCATGGGGTTGCACAGAGTCAGACACAACTGAAGGGACGTAGCATGCACGCACGCATGTACATGTGTATGTTTTTGGCTGACACGACCAGTACCATAACTGTTTAAATAGTTCTCTACCTCGCTCTGTAGCCTTCCAATGGTAAAGGGTGGTGGTTATCAATTTCACATGGGTCCTCCCTTCCACAAGTCACCCCGAAGTTCGTGTCATGTCCCTGGGGCTGTGGTGCCCAGAGAAGCTGCTGTGTGAAAGTCTGCACCCTTGGTGTGTACAAGAATCCAGCTTCACTGGTGCTTCACTAACTTCATTAACTCATGAAACAGTTGCATTTTCTTTTTCTCATAACTTGGAGTTTTGGTGGTTACTACTCAGTGACCCGTGTGATAAAGATCTTTATGTGGAGGGTAGAATTTATCTTCAGCTTTTATATATGACTTTATTCCTGCAGATCTGAAGGAGCCGTCTGCCCTTCTCTCTGCCATGTCAGTGTCTTTGGAGCTGTTTGCCCTTCTCTCACCTATATTGGTGTCTTTCACATTATCGGCTAGAGACCCAGGAATCTGCTGGAGAGCCAGACCGGAGCTTGTTAATTCAGAGCCTTAGAACTCACTCCTCTTGGAAGGCCAAGGTACTCTCTCTTGTCTTTGAAGAAGCCTTTATAGGTATCATTTTAAAGAGCTGAAAAACGGCTCACCATGGAGATATGATAATAAACACAGTAGACTAAAACACGGTAATTTATTTAAGACTTCTCCTACTGTGGGAATCTAAGTTGTTTGTTATGTTTGGGTACTGTAAATAATGATGTGAGAAGCTTTTTTCTTCACAAATTCTGCCCACATTTCTGATCAGTACCTTAAAGGTTCCCCAAAGTACAATTACTGTGTCAACAGGCATGAGTGGTGTTATTAAGGCTGCTGACACCGACTGGCAGATCAACTTCCAGAACAACGGTGCCGTCCTCAGGTCCCAGAGGCTGGGGAGGGAGGAGGCAAGCG